ATTTTTAAAAATTCTTTATCAACCAAAATATAAAAATTTTTTTGCAAAGTTTGTTTTTTTGACGTTTTTGCTCCCTGAAAAATTGAAAAGCAAATTTATCAATATTCGTGCAAAATTTCTTAGCTAAATAAATTATTTCATCATTACTATGACTTATTTCAAGCATAATTAAATATGTATTTACAAATTAAAATAATAAAATTGATAAATAATAGTTATAGTTGGAAATATTATATTTTTGATAAAAATATAGCCGAGCAGGATTAAAAATTCTTGTAATATGGATATAGTTTATATAAAAGTTGGAAAACGAGTTGAATACTCTCATTAAACTTATTAATACTAAATAATGAATACTATTAAGAAATCATTTAAAGCATTGATTCAAATATAATTATAATATGCTAACAGGCAGAATAGACAATCATTCTGAGTTTATAAAGTGTTATGGTAATATTGTTCGCATTAAATCCAATTTCTTTTTAGTTCAGGACCCCCAGCTTCAAAAATACTACATGGCGTATAAAATTAAAAAGGACTCAATACATATGCTATTGGATGTTAATGGCTCTAGTTTATTCTCCTCAGTTGGCAAAGATTCTCATTCTTTAAGGAAGAAGTTGATAGCACCAGCATTCAATATAGAATCTCTCTCAAAATGGAATACCTATTTGTCACGTTGGAAGCGACAGCTTAATTAGGTATTTGCACTTTCGGCTAGATAATGATGAACTAAAAGAGATAGATTTATAAAAGTTATTCAATTCAATACAATGAACGTAGTTACAACATTAATATTTGAGAGAGTTTTAATAAAACTTAAAATAAATCAAAATTACAATATTTTAATCAGTTAGCCTCTAAGAATGAATATATAATATTTTTAAAAATAATTCTATCATTTAATGAATCTTTAATATTTCCTATAGAAACTTGTTTTAAACCTATAACATTAGAGAATACTATAATAGAAGGGAGACAGCCAAAGTTCTTTATGATTATTTTATAAGTTTGATAGACACTGAAGACCCTGAAACATGAAAAAGTTCTCAGATTTAGAAATTGTTGAAGAATGTATTGTGCTATTATTTGACGGGGTGTATACGACTTCAAATACTTTAATCTGGACAATGTACGAAACCCTAAAGCATCCTGAAATCTACAAGTTAGTTAATAAAGAAGTATTACAAATTTTTCCTAATTCAGATAAACCAATATCAGCTTTAGAAGCAAAAATAGAGTTAAAATACTTAGAGGAGCTATTCTGGTTAGTATGAGAATGAATCCTATTGCTAGTGGCGCACTTCTTAGAGTTATGCCCAAAGGTGGTATTGCTATTAGAAGATATTGTTTAACTAAAAATATATTAAAATATGTTTTATCTATAGCATAATATGCTTACATATATGATTATAAAGAGGATACCTGCAATGGACTCTTTTACTTAACACATGAGGTCTGTAATTTGGAAAAACTATGATATTTTTGATATTTTTGATATTTCAAGATGGCTTTGTAAATCACTAGAAGCTAATAAATTACCTCTTCTTACTTGGGGCTTAGGTCTAACATCTTGCTTTGGAGGGGAATTAGCATGGGCTGAGATATTTTTAGTATTAGTTAATTATTAAGAAATTTTAAATTTGAACTTGTAGATTAAACTATAGCACGTCATTTGGCATTATTGAATAAACCCAAGAAGAAGTTTAGGGTTATATATCTAGAAGAGTACGATACTCTGTAGATCAAATAACAAACAAATTTGCAGTGTTAAAACATTTCGTTATTTACTAAAGCTTATACCTGGATTAAGATCAGCTGTATATTATAGATCTTAAAATTTAAAATTTATTCAATTTTTCTATATTATAATTATTAATATACTTAGTATAATTGAAAATTTGAAAAAGTGTATGCTGTAAAGATTTCAAATTAATTGAAAATACTTACAAATATGTATATAGTTTTCAAACTTTGTTAAAATTTGCAGATATTTGCTGTACTGTTAATTTTTTTGTGATGTTTGATTTATTCGCGTTTATATTATTAATATGTTAAATTTCAATTACCTTATTAGATTACAAATTACCAAAACTATTTCTACTACGGAAAAAAATTAAATATTCGCATTTTGTAATTCAATATTTAGATTATTAATCAATTCTCAATTGGCCACAAAATAATTACCCAATTAGGACTGATTAGAGTTTGCTGGCCAATCATATTTAATTAAAAATTATTATAAATAGCCTTCTAAGACGCGAATATCACAAGTTTAGAGATAAGATTTTTTACTTGTTCTTTTTTTATAGTTAATTTGTGGTATAAATTCGTGTTTTATTAAACGCTTCATTCTTTTATCTTATATCGTTTATACCATATTTTTTTTGTATTTTTTTAAAAAGAACTATTTATATTAGCAGAGTTTAGTTTATTTTTTTATTTTATTGCTATTTAATTATACAAATTACTATGGAAGTGCAATCTAGAACTCAGCAAGATGTTGAAGAATACAGTATGGATGAGCAAAGCTCCGTCCCTTATAATCTTATAGACGAACTTATGGTAAACATTTTTTTCTTATTAAATAATTCTATTTTTACTTTTAAATTTAAATCTATATTATTTAGACATATAGCTAACCAGATTTAATAATTTTAGAATCACGGAATTGCCAAAGCCGATGTCGATAAATTAAAAGCCGCTGGTTACTTCACCGTTCAAGCTATTGCCTACGCCCCAACTAAAAATCTATTAAATATTAAGGGTATTAGTGAAATTAAAGCTGAAAAAATTTCTGTTGCAGGTAAATATCCCTTATACTCTAATTATAATAAACTAATAATTATTTTGTAGCTCAAGCTATTGTTCCTATGGGCTTCGTTAGTGCGACAAATATTTATGAAGAAAGACAGCATATGATAAAGTTAAATACTGGGTCTGAAGCTTTAAACGGAATTTTAGGAGGTGGTATCGAAACTGGTAGTATAACGGAAATTTATGGGGAGTTTAGAACCGGTAAAAGTCAGCTGTGCCATACTTTGGCAGTTACTTGTCAGGTAAGTTTTTATTTGTTTTTTATATCATCTTTTACTTATTTTGATGATTTTAGTTGGATCCTCAAGTTGGAGGTGGTGCTGGTAGATGTTTGTTTATTGATACTGAAGGAACATTTAGACCTGATCGTATTCAGTCAATTGCTGAAAGGTAATAATTACTCCACTTATTCCAATACATGTTTACTAATTACATATCAATTAGATTCGAAATTGACCCAGAAGTAGCTTTGGAAAATATTAGCGTAGCTAGAGCTCAAAGCTCAGATCATCAAACTGCCCTTTTAGTTCAAGCTGCTCAAATGATGTCCCAAGAGAGGTACTATAATTACTCATATTTTTTCAACTTTAATTAATAATAAAATCATAGATACGTATTATTAATCGTAGACAGTGCTATGGCTCTTTACCGTACCGATTACACTGGACGTGGTGAATTATCAGCGCGTCAGATGCACTTAGCCCGATTCTTACGTTTATTAACTCGTTTAGCCGATGAATTCGGTATAGCAGTAGTTATCACCAACCAAATGGTAGCTATGGTAGATGGAGGTATGACACTGATGGCAGATCCCAAAAAACCTATTGGAGGAAATATTATGGCACATGCTAGTACTACAAGACTTTATCTGAAAAAGGGTAAAGGAAATAATAGAAATTGTAAGATTGTTGATAGTCCAAGTATGCCCGAAACGGATGCTATTTTTGCTATTGACACAGGGGGTATTGTTGACTCTACTGATTAATTTGTCTCTATGGTGCGTTGTTATATTAAATGTGTAAATTTATCGATTTTAGACCTCCCCTTCACCATTAAGCGCCTGCAGTACAAGTATACTAATCTTTGTCAACTTAAAAATGCTTCTTTTCTTGTAACCCATAAATAAATCAATTTTAATTATTTAATTAAATATTAACTTATTAATTTTGTATCTTCTAATATTAGTATTAATACAATATAATATGAGTTTAACTGAAGATCAAATTAATCAATTTTTAACAAATGGCTACTTAGTATTGGATTCATGTAATTGTGCTACATATCAGAATTATTTTAATATGGCTAACAAAAAATTATATAGTTTTGGACAAAATTGAATTAGAAGAGTTTAAAGAAGAGTGCGATAATATACTCCAATATATAAAACATAAAAACTTAGATGTAATCAGGGATTTGGGTTGTATTATAGAGCCTTGGATAATCTACTTCACCAAATTAATAGACCAATCAACTCTACAAAGTTATAATAACTATAAAGTCGATATTAATGATTTTGAAAACTTGAGAGCTTGGGGTAGTGAGTTCAACTTGGTTGAATTTATTAAAAAGAGAATTATTAATCTTGTTAAGGGCTTGTTCTTGAATGTTAATGATAGTTGCAAGGAAGTATACTTGGTAAACAAACTCATTATATTTTTACATTTTTAATAGCTAATCCTTTCCTATATGATAGTTTAATGAACAATACATCGTAAAACCAAGCGATATAGCAACTAAATTTCAATTACATAAAGTATACAAATTAACTAATATTATTTATTATATTTTAATATTTTTATGTTTAGGATAGCGAACACTTACCAAACTATTGTAAAAAGGTTTTTAATTTGGCAGTTTGGATAAATTTGGATGCTATTAACGAGGTAATTAATATATAATAGTTTATTATAACTATATACTAATGTTTTACCATAGTCTTCAGGGTACTTTAACTTCGCTAGCTTAAACAATCCACAAGCCATAACTCAACTCAAATTACCTCCTGGTTCAATAGTCCTCATTCACAGTGAATGTCCACACTATAGCGACCCAAACAATTCTAACTCATTAAGAAGAGCCTACATGCTTCAACTCACACAAAAACCATTATACTATGAAGAAAATGATAATTTAAATGAACTAATTTCAATGGGAGTAAAAATAAAATTTTAGAAAAAATTAAACTCTCCGGCCGGGAATTGAACCCGGGTCACCCGCGTGACAGGCGGGTATACTCACCACTATACTACCGAAGATTAATTTTGTGTAATAAATTAGATATTTATCGTGAAGTGGACAAATTACTTAATTAGGAATAAACAGGATATTTTTTATTTTAATAATTTTTATATCAGTTTTCTACTTTCTTTATCAATACTTCTATTTCATATTGTTATATTCTATATCTTTTAATTAATGTTATATTTCAAAATTTGTATTTTTTATTTTTATTAATAATTAAATAATAATTTTAATATAGGAATACTACCATTGAAAGAGTAATTAAACTACCTATTAAAGCACTACCAACACTTAAAATAATAGGATCGGCTCTCTTAATCCCTTGAATAACAGGATGCTCTCCAGTCTGATAACTTATCATACCTCCATCATCATTATCGTCAGGTTTTAATAATTCAGAGAGAATTTTACTAATATCTTGGCTATCCTTCTGATTACCACCTGAAGCTAATTTGTAATCAACATCGTCTAATTGTCTAGACATAGCTTGAATAATAGATTTTTGAGCATCTATCGTATCCGTTAGAGGCGATAGCTTCTCTTTTAAATCGCCTTCTAATTTATTTATCATTGCATCCATTTCTTGAGATACTTGTTCTACCATTCTTCTACGCTTTCGGGGTTCTAACCAAGTATGAACGAGAATAAATGCTAATAAATTTACTAGAATTAATGCAAGGGTCCAGTAAGTTGATGCGCCACGTATTTTGTCACTCCATAGTTGTTCTTCATGGTAGCGAGTACGGATTGAATCAATTAGTTTTGTGTAAGTTTGTTCTACTTGGGATTCGAGAGCTTTTAGTTGAGCTTTTGATGTATATTCATTTTGTTCATTTTTGTGCTCGTTGCGGTAAAGCTGAGTGAATTGGGTCACATCTTCGTCTGTCCAGAGGTGTTTGCGTTGGAGGAGATTGTTTATTTCTTTTTGGCCACCAGCGCGCATGTTAACGTTACCTTCGTGCTCTAATTTTATGCGTTTTAGCTCTTTGTTTATTTTTTCAAACTCTGACTCTATAACAAAGTGTTAGTATAGTACAATATAATATTCGTATATGTATACCGTAAACTTTAATATTATTCTTTAACTTTTCTATTTGATCATAGCCAGTAACTTGATTCAAATTTACTCCTATTAACTTTAATAAATCGAAAAACTTTTGCTTGTAGACATCCCAGTCAATATTCTTTATCTCTTCTCTCTTGTTGTTTATTTGTTTGCTTATATCGTCAAATTTATCTCGAAGCTGTATTAATAAGGCTTGAAGTGGCTGTTCATTTGTAGTTTTCGATTCTTCGGCTGGGGCTGGGTTGTTGGGTGGTGGGAGGTGTATAGGCTCTGAAGAAGTGGTTTCAGAGGTGTCAACTTTGGGTTCTTTCTCTTCCTTTACTACTTCATTTTTTGGAGCTTCCAAAATTATTACATTTTCTGAATTATTATCATTATTATTGACGCTCTCCTCCTTTAACTTGGTTTCCTCTTCAAGTTTATTATTTTCTTCAGCCTCCCTTTTTTCAGCTTCTTTCTTAAGTTTCAAATCCTCATGCTCTTGCAATATCTTTTTGATATCTTCTTCAATTTCAATATCTTTTTTAAATAATAAATTGCTAGAATTTAATTGCAATCTTAGATTTGTACTTAATTTCCTATAGCTAGTTAATTTTAAACTATTATATGTTAGTGATTTGTGGTTTAATTTGGGTATTTTATTTATTTTTATCATATTTTATATTTTAGTTATTTATATTTAAACTACGTTATTTTTAGATATTTATTTGAGTTTAATTTGGATAAATTATTATGGTATATGGGATTTGGTTGAATCTGATAATAAAAATCAATTACAATATTAATCAGATAATTTATTTAATGTTTAATTTTAAAGTTAAATGTAATTAATTAGTTAGTTTACTTTATATAAAAAGCAATTATAAACCATATTATATTATATATTATTATTATATTATTATATCTAGAGGAGCTATTGTCTACATATAATAACTTTTAAGAATTCTAGCATGTAACTATTACACTCAAAAAGTTTAAAGTTGACTGCAATATTAAATTTAAAATAACTTCGACTGATTCAGATAATTAAATACCAAAATTCATGTTAAGATAAAAATTTATTTAGTATAATATAATATTATATATTGATATATGTATTATTAGATTAAATACTTCAAATAAGGTAATGGTTTAAAAGCTCATATTTAGATACATTTATAAGTATGTATATAATTACGTATCTTTTTATACTTTAAAAACTTCGATCTTAGTGAGATCAAATTAATCAGCTTAAAAAAGGGGGAAATCAAGTCAATATATAGTATAATATAAAATATTATTTGGCCACATGTTAACACTCTGGCATAAATATTAAATACTTTATCCTTTATCCTTTATCACTTCACATTAATTTCAATATAAATATTTGTATATTGTGCTAATAGAGTAAATTAAACTTGATCTTAGTAATAACAATTTTTCTGCATAAATTTGGCTATATCTAATATAGTTAAAATATATAAATATATAAATAAAGAGTAATTATTATCTTAATTATTATAATAGGAGTACACAAATTAATTTAAATTATTTTTATCGCAGTCAAACAAATAAAAATATTTGTCTAATATACATTTTTAATATTATTAAAGAATTTTAAATAACTTTTAACTTGTTATATTAAGCTTATCGGGACTTTTTAGATTAAATCACTTTTATATTAGTTATTAACTGACATGTGTCATTAACTAGCTGCAAAGTTTATCAATCCTATGTATGCATGTATACGTATAATAGTTAAATGCAAATGGTATAAAGTAACATTTGATTATTGTAACAATGATAAATTGGTCCAAATTTGGCTAACAAAGCTCTTATCTTATTTACATGCAAGAGTACGTATATCTTATCTGTGCATATATTAGATATTATATAGAAACTTAAAAATTAAGTTTGCATACATAATTAACTAATAATTACTCTATATAATTTAAAGTTAATAACGCATATATTGATTTGTTGTTTTCTAGATAAGTTATTTATCACTAAATTTAAATAATTAATTTATGCATTAAATTAAGCTTGAAATATTAAAGTTAATTTTTTTAATAATTATAGAATTTATCAAATGATATTGATATATGCCAGTTTGTTATAATAACAAAATATTTCTTACTGAGGAAAGTCAATATAAAAATTTAAATAATAACTGGATATTATAGTAATAGATATAAAGTTATAAAACTATAAATTTAAATATTTTTAAAAAATACAAGTTTTGTACTTATAAAACTCCAATTCCATTTCAATAAAAGTAAAAGTAAATTTATTTATCTAATAATTTGCCCCAAAATATTCACTATACTAAATAATTAAAATTTAATATAAAAATGCGCAATTGACTTAAATTTTCATTAAGCAATTCAGCTAAAATGTTATAAAGCCTTTATTTTAAAACAGTTTATATATTCTTGGCTAATAGTGCCTAGAAAATAAGTCAGACTCTAGACTAAAAATCAAAAACTAGGATATTCTCTTTATGCACTATTAATAAAAAGGAATTCTATAACATTCTTATGCAATAGTATTTAACTCAATTGTAACAAAAGTTCAAAGTTTTATTTTTTTATCATTGGGGTTCCTAATTAGAATTAAGAATAAATAGGGACAGTTATGCAACAAATTTTATATTTATCTTGAATATAAAATAATAATAATTTTTCTTAGTTTGTAAGTAATATAGTCATAAGATAATTTAAATAAAAAATTATAATATAAAGCTTAAATATTATAAGTATATATTGAACAACTGCAGCTAGTTAGCTTTAAAGTGAAACAATTAAATACATTAACCTCTAGAATAATAAAGTGATACAATTAGTAATCAACAACCCTGAAGGTCAAACTCTTGGATAGACTGAAATCTGAGTCAATTACAAATTCTCTATTGCTTGAATAAAACAATGAAAACATAACATTTTTAATTAGTGATTATTAATATCAATATAATAATAGTTAACATTATTAAGTTGGACATTAACTTAAAATTTTAAAATATAC